TAAGTTTTTTTTTTTTTTTTTTTTTTTTGTCTTAAGTAGATAATTTTATAGAGAATTTTTTTTTTTTTAAAAATATAAAATATTCATTTCGTTTAATTGTAATTAAAAAATAAAAAAGAATTAATTTTAATTATCAAATATTAATATTATTTTATTTTATTTATATTTTTACATATTCCTTAAACAAAGTATTTATTTAAGAGAGAACTTTATATAAAAAAAAAAATGAGAAAAAGTGAAAACGTCTTGTGCTAATTAGTGCAACACTTGTTAGATTGCTTAGTAATAATCTTTTTTTTATTAAATTAAAATAATGTATTTTTATAATAAAAATTTTGTTCATTTCAAAATATATATATTACTATTATATAATTTTTCATTTATTAAAAGTTTGTTAAAGGTACACTTTTTAGGGAATACATATTAAGAACTTAATTTTTTTTTGGAATAAAAAAAGATCATCAAAATTATCTTCATTTAATTAAATATTCTAAAGACAATTTTAATAAGTTTGTAATTAAATGAAAATTAGAGGATTTAACAAATTTAATAAAACACATTATATATATTTCTATATTCTTCTGATTTAAATAATAGAGTTATAATTTTTTATTTTCACACTAAAGATATTATTACCTATTATATATGTATATTTTAAAAACTTAAAGTGCTATTAAATACTATTTTTTTTTTTTTTTTTTTGTAAGACAAAAAGAAAAAGAAAAAGGAAAAAAAAAAAATCTAATAGTACCAATAATAAAGTGTTTTAGAATTAATCATTTTACTTAAAAATATTAAAAACTCATATTTTACTACATACAATTTATCTATATATTTAGTAGACAAACATATCTTAAAAATATTTATTATTATTATGATATCTATAATTTTTATAAATATTTTTTAGTAATTTTTTTTAAGAATATTCATTTATTTATTCTTTTTTTTTCTTTTATATTATCAATATTTTTTATAATTATATATTTTTTTTTTTTATAATCAATGGAAAATTTTATCATAAAACAAGTAGGTATATTTTATAAAAATGCTCTTTTAATATAACATCGCATCACAAAAAAAAAAAAAAAAAAAAAAAAAAAAAACTAAAAAAAAAGAAAAAAAGGTAGTAAACTAATATAGAAAGTCCTTTTCTCTTTTTTAAAAATATATTTTATGAATATGAGTCTATTTCTATAGATTTCAAAATGAAGCAATTTATACAAGTATAAAAAATTACAATTATAAATAATATTTTTAAGATTTATAAAAAATACGTGAAAGACTATTTAAAACTTGAAAAATTACAAGTTTATTTGTATGTCTTGATATTTTTGAATATCTGATAATCTAAAATATCAATTAAATAAAAATAAAATAAAATAAAATTCTTATTATTTCGATACTCATATTTTTTTTCGAAATTAAAGAAATGGAATCATTACGTTTTACTTGTTTACATTAAATATAAAACGAATAAATTACCAAAACTTTATTATATTTTATTATAATAATTTATTTACATAAGTTAAATTATTAAAAATTCTTAATTATTTTAAAATTACATATTTTTATAATCAAAATTAACTAATCTCTTGTTTAAATATTATTCATTTCCATTTAGAGCTCAACAGATTATACAAAAATAATATGCACACTATTTTTGTTTTGATTTTACAAAATATCTTGAAATTTACATTTTTTTTTTTTTTTTAAACAATAGTATTATCATATTAAAAAAATAGTAAAATATGATCTTTCGTAAGTTGTAAAGAATTTTTTTTTTTTTTTTTTGTATTATGTTGTATATATGTATTTTTAATAAAAGTAAACAATAGTTTTTTTCATTACTCATGTACACTATTCTATATCTAGAAAAAATATAAAGTTTAAATATCAAAAATTGTTCAAAAGGAATTTTTAAATTTCATTATTTCATATGTAAACATTTTAAATATCAAAAATAATTTAAGATATTTTTAAGTGTTTACTTTAATTTTATATAAATTTTCTTCTTTTATTAAATATTGCTTACTGTGTATATTTAAGAAATTATTGTAACTATAATTAATTTTAAAAAAAAAAATTAAGAAGTACGTACAAAAACTCTTTCATTTACAACTATTTAATTTATTTATATTTTTTTATTATATATAAATTTTTAATTATAAAAATTCTTATAATTTAATTATTATAAAAAAAAAAAAAAAATTTTTTTTAAAAAAAAAAAAAAAAAAAAATAAATTGTTCTAAAAAATTTTTAATTTAATATTAGCTATATTTCTTAATTTATTTTATTTTATCTTCTTCTTCTTTTTTTTTTTTTTAATAAGAAATTTTTAAAAATAAAATTGTTACCCTCCTTTTTGTATTGTTTATAATATTTATATTTATAGGAATAAAAAAATATTTTTTTAAAAAAAATATTTCAATTATATTCATGTTTACATTATTTTTTTTAAATAAAAACTGAAATATAGGAGAAACTTTTTTATTAAAAAAATTTTCCCTTTAAAAAAAAAAAAAAAATTAACAAATATTTTGTAAAATCCGTTGTGTAAAGTTTAGATATATGTTTTATAATATTTTATAAAAATTAAGTTTTTTGTTTTTATTTGTTTTATGTATTTATTTTTGTAAGAAATATTATTTTATTTTATTTTTTTTTTTTTAAACAACAAAAAAAATAAATAATCTAATGAATATTAAAATAGTATGTTTTTTTCATTACAAAAAATTTTGTTATTGAAAATATTTAAAATGTCTAAATATAAAGTAATTAATATAGGATAGAAATTTTTTTTTTGATCAAATGCATATAAAAAATAAATTTTATTTTTTTTAAATAAAAATATTAATGAAATATTATGAGGAAAAATGGGAAATACTTTTAATAAATTAATAAAAAATTATAGTAATTCAGAAAAAAAAAAAAATGAATATAAACTTGGTAAAGTTTTAGGATGCGGATCTTTTGGGTACTTATTTTTTTAAATAAATATACTTTCATTTTACTCTTTTTTTAAAATTTTTCTTTTACTTTTTTTTTTAATTATATTTTTTCATTTAGGGTTGTGAGAGAATGCATTAACAAAGAAACAAAAGAAGTGTATGCTGTGAAAATAATTAAAAAAAAAAAAAAACATAAAAAAAATTGTAATTTTGAAAAAATGGTTAAAAATGAAATAAAATATTTATCTATAATGAGCCATGAGAACATTATAAAATTTAAAGACTTTTTTGAAGATAAGAAAAAATTTTACATAGTTTTAGAAAAATGTGAAGGAGGAGAGTTATTTTATAAGATTGTTAAAAATAAATGTTTAATGGAAAATGAATCAGCTTTAATTGTTAGGCAGGTAAGTTTTACATTTCCTGTTGTATATATATATATATATATATGTGAATAAATTGATATATATTTTTCTTTTTATGGAAAATTATATTTCTTAAATAAAAAAATGTATTTATAAACAATAAAATTTCATTTTATATTTCAATTTTAAGTTGAAAAATTAATTTTTATACTATAATTTTCTTTATCGTGTATCTCAATAAAAAGTAATTAAAATTATATTTTTTTGTTTGTAAATTTATATATAATGAATTATTTTTTTCCTTTTTAGATTTGTTGTGCTTTGGAATATTTACACTCAAATAATATTATTCACAGAGATATAAAAGTAAAAAAAGATTAAAGGAAAAGTTTTTTTTTTTTTTTTTTTTTTTTTTTGATGATTTTTTTTAAAGAATATGAATGATATAATAAGACAGTATTTTTTTTTATCTTTTAGAAAATATAAATATATTTTATTTCTATTATTTTATTTTTTTTTAAAAGGCGGAAAATTTTTTATTCAAAAATAAAAATACGAAAAATATAAAATTAATAGATTTTGGAATGGCTAAAAAGGTAAATAATATACTATGCATAAATAATAGACTTAAATTTTATTTTCTATTTTATTCTTTTTATTTAGGTTAATTGTGAATATTTAACTGAATTATGTGGATCACCTCATTATATTTCACCTGAACTTATAAGGTAAAAAAAAATATATTTATGTACATAATACAAAAATATTATGATTAAATCATTTTTTTTTCTTTTTTTTCAGAAAAAAATATACAATATCATCAGATATTTGGGCATTAGGTGTAATGGTTTTTTTCATGCTAACAGGAAAATACCCTTTTGAAGGAAAAAACACACCAAAAGTTGTGGTAAAAGAAAAGAATATAATAAAAAAAAAAAAAAAAAAAAAAAAAAAAGAACATACACTAATTAAATATATTTATTTAATATTACTTTTTAAGGATGAAATATTAAACAAAAATATAAACTGGAAAAGCAAAGAATTTTCTTCATTATCAATTGAGGTGATATTAAAATAAAATAAAATAGTTATTATTTCTTTAATACATTTTTTTTTTTTTTTTTAATAAAGGCTGTAGATTTTTTAAAAAAACTTTTAGAAAGAAATGAAAAAAAAAGATTGACCGCATATCAAGGTATAATAATATTAAATATATATTTTTTACTATTCTATATAACAATAAAAATTTTTCTTATCCATATATTTTAAAAAAAATTCCCTTTTTTTCTTATTTTTTTAGCCCTTAATCATCCTTGGATAAAATCACAAAAATTAAATTAATTTTACTTTAAATTTTTTATTTCATTCTATAAAATTAATTATTGTATTTTTGTTTTATTGTATTTTTTTTTTTCATTTCATTTTGAATCTTAAAAGATTTATACATATATTTTTGCATATTTTTGCATATTTATATATATATATAACATATAATTAAAATTTTAAAGATATTATTCCTTATATTTTTTTTTTTTTTTTTTGTTTCATTTACTTCATTTTAAATATATTATTAATTCATTTGTTAAACACATTTACTTTTTATTACTCATATTTTTTATAGAATCATTAATATATACAAAATATCCTTATTATAAAATTGTTTAGTCTAATATTTTTTATTAATATTTATATAAAAAAATTATACTTTAAAAAAAAAAAAAAAAAATGAGATGTCAGTATATTCTTAATTACAAAACTTTTAATATTTATTGAATTTAAAAAAATAAAAAATTACTTTATTTTTTTAATATTTATTAAATTTTTATTCCATAAAAAAAAAAAAAAAAAAAAAAAAAAAAATTTTAAAAAAAAAAAAAAAAAANCTTTAAAAAAAAAAAAAAAAAATGAGATGTCAGTATATTCTTAATTACAAAACTTTTAATATTTATTGAATTTAAAAAAATAAAAAATTACTTTATTTTTTTAATATTTATTAAATTTTTATTCCATAAAAAAAAAAAAAAAAAAAAAAAAAAAAAATTTTCAAAAATATAAAAATAAATTTACAATAAAAAATAAAGAAAAGATATATATAACATAAATAAGTAAAATATGTATACCACGTAAAATATAATATTAAATGATTAATGACTAAATAAACGGTCAAATAAAATATTAAATAAATAGGTAAATTATTAAGTAAATGAACAGGGAAAAATAAATATTACATATTTGTGAAAAATAATTTTACATTAATCTTAATAAATTAAAAAATATTGTTCAAAAGTTTAGAAAATGTACATAATACATATAAGTATGTATATATATACGTTGTTCTTGCATATATGTAATTCATATTTTTAATACAAGTATTTCTTATTTTATTATACTCATTGTATTGTTTACATTTGTTGAATATTAGACAATTTCTTAAATATGTTATACATATATATATTTATATATATATATATATATTCTCTATTTTATTACATAATAAGAACTCCATTAATAATATAAAATTGTTATTATAAACAATAACAAAAAATAAAAATTTATGTGATTAAAAAATAAAAACTTAAGTTTTTATTTCATTTCATTTATTTTACAAAAATATTATTTCTTTTATTTCTGAAAGGAACATTACCTCCTCTATAAAAAGTGTTTTTAAATTTCTCGTCTTTTGGTTTTCCTTCTAAAGGTGTGTTGAATCCGTTAAATTTTTTATTAAATTTTTTAACCTCATTTTTCTTTTTTTCTTTAAAATTTTCTATGTTTAATTTAATGCCGTTACAATACAATCCTAAATCAAGTAAAAGTTGTTGACTTTGTCGGCAATCTAATTCAGCAATAGCATAAGAGTATTCTGTTGGTTTTACTTTATCGTAATTGTTTTGATAATTAAATGTATGAGGAAATATTTTTTTAATTGATCTTTGATAAATATCTATTTGAACAGCATGACCATCATTATATTTCTTTAATCTATCAATTATACAATCATTTATTTTTTTCTTATCCATATTTTTATGTATATTATGAATTATAATTTTTTTATCATTTACGTTTATCTCTTCTCTTTTTTTCTCTTCTTCATCTTGAACACTTTCTTCATTTTCTTTTTCTTCATATTCTTGTTTCTCTTCTACCTTTTGATTATTTAATGCGTTCCTTTCTCCTAAACTATTTTTATAATTTTTCATAACTCTGAACACCCAACTATCTGGGTCTACTTTATTTTTTTCTTTTTTTTTTTTTTTTGTCATTTCATTTGCACTTTTTTCTTCTTTTATAATATTTTCAAGTTTAGGCAATTTTTCATTTCCTGTGTTCCATACATTTTCATTTTTACTTTTCTTAATTTTTTTTTCATCTAAATTCATTTTCAAATTTTCATCATCATTATCTTTTTCTATATTGTTAACATTGTTAATAACACTGTTATTTTTATCTTTTATATGATTTTTATTTATTTTATCTACACATTCTTTATTATTGGAATCAACATTATTTATCTGTAAATTTTCATTTTTTTCTTTTTCTTTGTTTTTTTTATCTACAGAATACTTATTTATTTGCACAGAGGTAGGTTTTCCAACTTTAACTTTTTCTTCGTTTGTCTTTTTCACATTTTTTCCTTTGTTAATTGAACCAATAGCGCCTCCATTACCTTTTCTTAAATTTTTATCTTCTCTCTTTTTAATCATCATCATTTCGTCATTTTTTTCTTGTCTATTTTTTTTTTTTCTTTTTTTCTCTTCATTTAATTCTTCAGCTTCTTCTTCATCTTCATCGTCATCATCATCATTTTCTTCTTCATCTACTACTTTATTATGCCTTTTTTCTTTTCTAATAGCATCTTCTTCATCTTCCTCATCATCTTCTTCATCTTCATCTTCCTCATCTTCTTCTTCGTCATTTTCTTCTTCCTTCTCTTCATCAACATCATCTTCTTCCTCCTCGTCATCATCCTCGTCATCATCCTCATCATCATCTTCATCTTCATCCTCTTCATCATCTTCATCCTCTTCATCATATTCATCATCATCCTCTTCTTCCTCTTCATCCTCTTCTTCTTCATCCTCTTCATCATCATTTTTTTTTCCATTTTTATTTTCTCTTATTAAATCAATCCCATCTTGGTAATTTTTTTCATTTTCTCCTCCTAATTTCATTTTATATTTTCTTTCTATAAATGATACATTGTCATTTTTTTCATTCTTTTTTAATAAAGTATCTGCATTTTTATTATCAATTAAATTTTTTTCATTATTTTTATTTTTAACCATTTCATTTTTAATATTATCTAATTTAAAATCATTACCATTACTTATATTTAATTTATTTGTTTTCTGCTTTTTTTTTTTATCCTCTTCTTTATTTTTTATATCATAAATATTACTTAGAAGCTTGCTATTTTCGTAACTGAAATCTTTTACATATTTTTTATCATCCCAATTACATGTATTATAATAATGAATAAAATCCACATCTACATAATACTGATATATATTATATTTGTGCAGGTGAATATTTTGAACGAAAAAATAATAGACATTGGTATCTTTACATTTTTTTATTTTTCCATAAATGTATATATAAATCTCATCATGCAAATTAACTACCTCAATAGAATTTATATGAACAGTACATTCATTAACATCAAGATTTTTATAATATTCATATATCATTTTTCTATTTTTTAATTTTATCATATTATCACTTTTATGACACCCTTCAATGTTTATTTCATTAAAATTGAAAAACTTCTCTGCATCATTTAATAATTTGTTGCTACTGTTATTACTGATTTGTTTTTTTTCATCACCAATATTACAATTTTTCATATATAGATCTTTTTCATAATTGTAATTTTGGTAGTTAAAACTTATTAAAAGGATAGCATTTTCGGAATAAAAATTATGCATCATTTCTTTTTTTGTATGGAGAACATAATAATACTGATAGATAAACATATATGAAATGCTATATGCATTGCCACTTGATGAATTTAAACTTTTGTAATTCATATCATTCAAATTAGTTATATTACAAATGTTATTCATATCCATTTCATTACTTATTAATGAATCTTTTGCATTTTCATAATTAGTATTATTTCCATTTGAAAATTTCTCATCTTTTTTTTCCACTTTTTCATCTTTATTTTCATTTATTTTATTTCTTTCATTGTTTATCATATTTAATAAAGCATTTTTATTATCACTCGTTAAAATATTATTTTCTAATATATTTTTTTCATTAGGACCTCCTATTATTTTATCAGTGATATTATAATTAGACGAAATGGAATTATTATTATTATTGCTATTATTATTATTATTATTATTATTGTTATTATTATTACTACTACTATTATTATTGCTATTATCGTTATGAATAGAATTGTTATTATTACTTTGCGAATTAAAATAACTGATTTTTTTTTGTCCTGGTATATTCGTACATGATGCATTATTATTTAAATCATAGTATCGATTTATATTTTTTGAATTATTCAAATTCATATAATTTTCATGATTATTTTCAACATTATAATTTTTATAATTTCTATGACCATGATTTAATGAATTGTTACTACTATTTACTGCATCTTGTATACAACTAAAGTAATCTTCATAATTTTGTTTTCCATCTTTTTTTTGAAAATTATAAGAATTCTTATTATTACTATTATTATTATTGTTATATTTGTTAACTGAATTATTATTATTATTATTGTTATTATCTACATTGTACGAGTTTAAACCAGAACCTGTTCCATTCATAGGTTTTCGTTTTTCTAAATTATACATGTCGTCGTTATAGGATAACATATTACTATTTTTCATGTCGTTAAGAGAATTTAAATTGCTTTTTTTTTTATAAAAGATATTGGTGTTAATACTTGATGAACAATTTACGTTTGTGTTAAAAACACTATTGAAATGATCGTTTAAATGCTGATTATTGTTGTTATTACTATGCTTAATATTTGAATATTTATTTTTATAAAAAAATAAGGAATACTTATTCTTATTCTTATTATACTGTTTTGTATCTGAATTTTTATTCATTTTTTTTATGATACTTCATAAAATTGTTTTAATATACTACCGCAATTAAAAAAAAAAAAAAAAAAAAAAAAAGAAAGAAAAATAAAAAAAAGTATAGGAAAAAAAAAAGAAAAAAGATAAAATAAAATAAATAAATAAAAAATTATTTGTTCTTTTAAATCAATTCAACCATTCATGTTTTTATCCTTCTTATAAATATACATAAATATTACTATTTATAACTACACTTTGATTTATTAAATTTAATTTATACATATAAATAGTTAGTTTTTTCTTTTCTTTTCTATTTATTTTATTAAATTAATATAAAAATAAGTATGGGAAAAAAAAAAAATTACTTAAATATATGTTTATTTCATATATATGCATGTATAATTCTCATAAAATGAAAATGACTTTTTTTTAAAATTTTCATCATAGTAGTTTTAATAATCTACAAAGGATTTAAAATATATATAAATATATATATATATATAAATTACTTATAACATTACTTTTTTTTTAATTAAGAGTAAAAATAAAAAAAAAATTTTGTAGTATCTTTTTTTTGATGCATAATAATTTGAAATTATTCACAAAACTTGAAATTTGAAATTTGAAATTTTTTAATAAAAAAAAATGTTTTTTTATAAAAGAAAAATTATAAAGCACAAATGTTATAATTTTTTATGGTTCAAAAATTATTTGCTTTTTTTCACAATTTTTTTTTTTTTTTTTTTTTTTTTTTTTTTTTTTTTTTTTTTT